CAGAAGAATTAAGAAAACTAATGTCCCGAAGTCGTTTTGAATTAAATTTGAACCCCGATAATTCCTAAGAAACTAGTGGGTTTTACGAAATATATCTTACGTTCGTTTCACTTTTTATATGCTAATTTCAAGACTTTTTTGTCTATTTTTCGATATTTATTCTGAAAATACGCGCTTGCCTAAGATAATTCAATTAAGCTAAATATCAGATTGTGTGATCATTTTCACGTAATGGTTTAACCCAACAAAGCAGCATTTCAGCAAAATGTCTGCCGCCATTAAATGTATGTTAAAAGTAGGTCCATTTTTAATATGGCACATAATAACACAATTTCTTTATGTTTATTCAGTTCGGTTGCAAATAATGATTCCCAGTTAATTAGTCTGCAGGTCTTGTCCTTATTAACAGCAAGCAAAATTCGTCATATTCATGAATATTTATGACTCAAATGATCATAATTTACCCTACTAAAATAGCTTTCAGTAAATTGTGTATGGAGCTATTTTGTGCATTTTTTTCGGCACTGCTTCCCAAAAGTTTGCGCATAGAAGACGCTGCAAAAGAACAAAAAGTTTAGTCATCGAGCACGATTTTTATACCTAGTTTTTTGTGTGCTTTAATTCAAAAATAAATTTTGTATATAAAATTCTTGTTTAACTCTAATTTTCATCAACTTAGCTGGTAATGTTACGACAACTTGAACATACGATTATTTGCTAATAAGAATTGTATTCCCCATTTTCATTAGGATGCAAATTGGTTTAGAACACATCTTGACATAAAACGTTATATCCTTATGTGGGCGACGTTGAGATTGGAACATTTTCTAGCCGATTTTCGTCCATTTCTATTTGTAGTGCGTTCAGATGTCATGTTCATGTTAGCTGTTCATTGTAAATCAATTGCTTAGCATATTTTGTGGCAGCGACCAGGACACCCGGTAGAATATTAATGAGCAATTTTGACATCGCATTATTCACTCACTAACGTGCAAAGAGAATCACACATTTAATTGTCCGTGGGCTTTCAGTGTTTTGCTCTCTGAAATAATTTTTAAATATCCAAACAAAAAGAACATTAATAATATTGCCATGTTTGAAGCGTTTTAAGACGCCTTCCAAGTGCAGCTTTCGAAAAGAACTAATTAGTGCTGGTGCTAATGATGAAGGAAGTAATTAAAGCAAACTAGATTGAGAGCATGCTAAAGATGAAACAAGAAGTGCCAATGTAATCAACAAAGTGTTTCTGGAGTTGGAAAGCAAAACACAAAAGGAAAAGTTAACAGACAAGGCGGTTCTAAAGCAGCAACCATTCGTAAATAAACGTGCAGCTAAATGTTTAAAAAATAATTAAATTTGCCTTTAAAAAATCTAACGTTGGTTTTACGATCGACGTGTGGGTAAATGCAAAAACCACATAGTCCCTTTTCTGATGTACAGATGCTGACTATTAGCCAAAAGTAGAACGACTCCTACTTACATAATACCTACATGCCCGTTTCCACTAAAACAGTTCATATGTTTCAAAGTTAATGGATTACACGTTATAGTACACGTGTGAATTACAGTTACTTTGTGGATGGTACTTTGTATGTTAAACGCCCGTGCTCAGGAGAACATTCATAAGAATCGATGACCTAAATCGGTTAATGATCTACAGAAGTTGCGTATCAGAATTTTAAGCAATATGTTAAATTAATCTTTTGTGACAATGATTATTCCACTCATCATCGAAGGGTTTATACAGAGTGATTTGGAGGACGTATATACAAGGTGTCCGCTGAGATGCTGATCTGAATATTATGTGGCTGATTTGAGGCAAAGAAAATGTTTTAACTTTTTTCAACGGTTCACCACTTTGGATAGAAGATGTTGACGATTAGTTGCCAAGTCCAGGAGTCGTAATTTTAAAACTTAAAATCGGTGTTCATATCCATTTTTGGGGCCGCAATGTATACTTTTAGTTTTCCGTTCGGGTTAGTTTTATTTATTTACTTGTTCCACAAAGTGCAAATTCATTTAGTCTAAAACTATTTGCATCCCGCTTAACCTTAACATTTCATGCTGCTTCGAAGCATTCGAATCCGTTAATATCTCGATTTATGCAAAATATTTGTGTTATATGGAAATGTTGAAAACTGGTGTTGAGATCACTAGCAACAATCTGTAAAGCTTAATAAAAGTTTATTGAAAAAAGCGGCAACATTCCAAAATCTAACTCTAGACTAAAAATACATTAATTGCTTATTCTAACTGTGAATAGCCTTTAAATCTTGGACTTGCAGCTAAATCTTTATATTTTCGTCTCGGGCCCATAAAGATTAATGGATATAAAAGTACAAAATCGTGGTTAATCTGATACGATATTATCTCTATTGTCCATTAGATTTATAGGCATGGCTTTCTTAATGGGTTGTATCAGAAAATGCTTATTTTCAAATCGTGAGTGAACTACGAAATTCAGGCTTTTGACTTTAAATTTTGCTAAAATTGTTGCTTTTGTAGCAACCCAGCAGGTATTTTGCTGATATTTAGCAAGAAATAAAGGTGGAAGTTCAGCAGTTTTACTGGACTGGAGTGGAGCATTTATTAGTGAGAATATCCTGTCTTGAAATTTCTGAATCGAGTTGCTTTAAAAATATAATTAATTTAAAATATACCATAAAAGTACATTCTGAATAACTAAAAGAACACTGATATTAAATTCACAAACTAATTGTTTTTTATCCCATTTCAATTTCAGCTGCAATTATTCCTCAAGGTGTGAACAAAAAACACCTGAAATTAACTGAAGTTGAATGCTTATTAATTAAGCTTTGGATTTAGACGCAAAAAATGTTAATAAACATGTAGCTTTTGAAGATATTTTAGAAATGTGGAGGGAATGTTGCAAAAGAGACACAGATCAAATAAGTGAATTAAACACAATTTTGAGTTAAAAAAATTTTCAAATAGCGTATAAGGCGTTTCTAGAAAGGTCAGTTTCGGTCAATAGCAACGGAAAACAATGCACAGATACAAAAGAAAACAGTTTAAAAGCAAAAAACGGTGTTTGATGACAAAAATAAATTTGGAAAATACTCAAGATACGGAATAAGGCTCACAGGCTGAAGATCCTTAATGAAAATGGTTGAAAAATTGTGAACAGACCCGACAGACCGTACTTTCGGCATCATTTGCTACAATTTCAGCAATTTCACAATTACAACAGTCAATGACGAGTTCAAATTTAGTAACAAAAAATTCGACTTTGCAATAGGAAATTTAACTTGTTATTAAGAGTTTCACAGAGCATCAGTGTTTAATAAAAAACATGTCTTTTTTATCTACTTGAAACTGTAATTTGTTTAGTCCGCATCTGATACTGATGAACACTAATTCTGTTCATTCTATTGATACATTTTTTACTCGATCTGTCGTCATTAATTAAACTTATTAATCCGATATTATACATTTCACAAATTCATAGTCGAAAACACCTAGCTTGAAATCAAATGTTCTTAATTAGCTTGACGTGCCATCCGAAAGGATTAACGGCATTGAAAAAATTAAAAAATTACCGTAAAGCAAACTTTATTTGCTAATAGTAGACCAACCGTATCCCATAAATGGAGGTTATGAATGAAACGTGTTTACTCTCGGAGATGAGCAGGAAATGAATAATGTAATGGAATCTCATTCGACTGGTCTGAACATTTGAAATGGTGAACCTGTTCGGTAAAGTTCAGTTAACAGCATGTCTTTATAACTAAGGAGGAAAGTGCAGAAAAATTATTGTTGAGAATGTGAAAAAACATTGTTGAACGTTTTGAATCAAAAGAGTTTAACGATGTGCGAAACTATTAGATGCGGAGGTGAAGAAATGGTTTTAACACAGTATGAAATTAACAAGCTATATAAGCGTACAGATTCAATCACCTTTCTAGTTTATTACGGGTTCTGTAAATACAGTGCTCTCATCTTGGCCGCCAACGCTTACAATTTATTTTTCGTTTTTTACAATAAAAATATTCAACCAAAACCTGTTTTTACTCCAATCCGACGATTTTCTTAAGATCTCTTAAAAATTATTAAAGCGCTAATTTATATGACTACCTAGTACTTGACCTAAATTGAATTAGATGTGCAATATAGATCAAGCCGGTCTCATAGTTTATGGCCGGCACTCATATATATAAAAAGAGAAATCGTGCTACAGAGCCTAAGTCACAATCATTATAGATCAATTATTTTTTCCTAATACTGAATTACTATTTCAAGATACTTCGAAGATTGCTTTATTTGTGACAGCAATTGGTTTACCTTCTATAGAAAACTAAATATTGTTATGCGGCGATTCGTATCGGTAAAGTATGCGGTCTGTTGTAGGCTAGAGGCGCGATTAGACTGGAGAAAAATTCGATGAAATGTCCTGGAAAATTGTACATAAGAAAGTTCTTTGCAAGAACGATTGATTGTGGAGTTATTTTATTTGCGTGTAGTTAAGGCTGATCTATTTCAATGTGCTGCAGGGCTACATGCGTTTAATATCAAATGAATTGCAAACAGAAACACCTGGAGAATGAGCTTATTCGAACATGGAGGGGTAATTTTTGGTTCCCTCTAAATTAATTTGTGTGTACAAATTGTGTACAATTGTGTGAAAATTTAAATGCAAAATCCCAACAATTTGCTTAATAATTTTAAATTCCTATGACACTGTTTGCTATAAAGTCCATGGAATATTGTCCAAGATCCACAGAATTTCCAATTGCTTCCATAACCGTTTGCACAGACCAATTATTATTTCGATGCTTTTAAAAAAGATCATTTACGAAAGGACTTGAGAGATCGACTTTCTTTTCGTTTTCTAATTTGGCTCATTTCGCATTTGAATTGACAGCAAATAATTTTTGTAAGCTAAAAGTGCTTTCGTGTCTTTTTCAAGCTGCGAGCAAAGAAAGATTTAGTTGAATTTTAGCTACTTAATTTTTTCAGGGTGGAAATTTAAAAAAAAACAGTTTCGCCCAAACTACAAACTATATTTGGATTATTTGCATACAAAATGCGACTCATAGTGCGTTACAACCACACAAAAACTAGCGATTATCAATCAAGACAATAAATAATCCAAACTTAGAAAAATATCACGTAAATAATTATCAGTAACTTAGGTGCGATGCAATGGCGTATTTTTCCATTGTTCAGAGGATGATCTGGAAAGTTCAATCCACGCCTAGATTGTTTGCTTTGGAGGCAGAAAAATCCATTAGACATTCGCATGTTCCCTTGTAAAAACGTATCAATGCAATACCTGAAAATCAATCGAAGAATAATAACAATCTGGAGCTGAGCAAAAAATGCATCATAGTTCAGTTTACTTTGCGGGCGACACCCATTTAATTTTAGTCTTTTCAATCCTTTTTGAAATGTCGCCATTTTGCTGCAAGAAAATTCGCTCGGCTCCCATTAAGTTGGGATGGATCAGTTTATAAAAATGGCATTTAGGTTCGGTGTTTATCAAAAAATATTCCTCAACTTCGTTTAGTTCATTAGTTGTTATCAAGCTGATCGCATTTGATTTATCAGCGGATTCTTCGCACTGGTACGATGTTAAGTTGAATACTGATCCATAAGCACAGCACTTCTGCAAGCACATAATGTGTCGGCAGGGAGAGAAGATAATCGCTGATTCTCTACAACATGTTTTAAAAAAATCAATTAATTTTAAATTGTGAATAATTTTAGACATAGGTACCTATCTTCCAGGTACTCATCAATGCAAAACTCGTCTGCAGCATAATCTTTCAAGATATCTGCTGTATACAACTTTTGTTCAATTTTATTGCTAATATACAGAACATAATCATTTTTTTTAAGATGAATTGCTGAAATATGCAGAAACAGTTAGCAGTTCTAAGCAGCGGTTTTTATTTGCATGTCATTTTTTAATTATCAATATCAATCAGTAAAATCATGTTTATACTAATCACTCTTTGTGCCTATTACTGATTTAATTCACTCCTATGAGAGCCATTAGCATAAGTCAATTTTCACTGATCATTGCCGGTAGATAAATGCATATTCTCAATATAACAAATAAAAATGCATTAAATAATTGCAATTCAATAAACTTGTGAATATTTTAGAAAGTTTCTCGATCGACTATTCTACAAAGCGTTGAAAATATACAAACAACTTACCTAAACTGTTGTCTGCTACTCTGAAGTTCTTGAACGCAAAACTCTGAAATTTATCCCCCATCAATGTGGAATTCGGTGTCCAGGAAACTGTGTTAGACACTTTGAAGCGACATTCATAGTGTTGATTTAATGATTCCCCTTTTCTGCAACACTTATTTAAATTCATGGTTGTCTCTCGCTTCTGTTTGGCATTCTGGCAGTAGAATCCGTTGAAACTCGTACTGTTTCTTCCATCGGAAAACGCATCGATGCAATAACTAAGTCGACACGGGATTCGCATTAGGAACATTATAGATTTTCAAGTTTTGAACTGCTTTCCACATGGGTTTAGAAAAGTTTTAATTGTTTCAAAAGAAACGCCCTTAAAAATTGAAGTTAAACCGGAAAAAAAAACGAATTCATTGGTTACAAAAAATGACTGGAATCGAATGTAAAGCAGTAGACAGAAATGAAGAAAACACAAAGTTATAGCAGAGATAAATCAAATAACTGATTCTACAATCAGCTTCTGCTTTTAAGTTGTTAGTATATGGAGTATTATTGGAAAATGTTAAGGTTTTATAGAATAACATTTAAGTTTGGAGTGTTTGCAACAATAACATTTTCGAATAAAAAATACCGAACATGCAAATACATTTTTGCAACAGGAAGCTTATATGAAAACAGCTCAAATATTAAGTTAGTATTCAGTTAAAAAGTTATTTGGCCAAAAACATTAAAAAATTAAGCAGCAAAATCATTAACACTTACTTTCCTGAATTGATAGCCACATTTCCTGCCCCATGCACTACAGTATAATTTTCTTCAACCAAAATACTTCCAGATACATTAAACAATAATTTCGAGCAATTTAAAGGCCTATAAAGCAAATAGGGCTCCCGAGTTGAATTAATCGTCATTAGCTTGTTAAGTTGATCCATCTCAATTCGAGGCAAATGTCCCAATTTTCTGCACTGTTGGGAATTGGTGTGGTAATATTGATTGTGGGCGCAGCATTTCTGGATGCAAAAGTGGCTTCGACATGGGCATTTCAGGATCATGTAACTTTGCAGAGAAATGCAAATGTTTTAACGTTAACAAATAGAAAGAAGCATTGGAAATCTACCTGTTGTCACCAAGTCTATCAATGCAATAATTTGTTGAATAGTTAAAATGAACTGATCCGGAATTTGTCAAGCTTAGAAGCTGACCGGATTCAGTGACAACATGGTTTTGGAGATCTTCATCCTTAACTACCAAAACTATAAACGAAAGAGATGTTCTGGAGCTGGTTTATAGTAATATAAATGGACTAGAATCACCTTCGTCTCTGCATAAATTTGTTTGGTAAACCACTTTGATTGCCTCAAAAGAAGTTTGAAAGAAATTGCTATCTACTATCAAGCCTTTCGGGAAAAAATCGTAGGTGTCGCGGCCTGAAACATTCCTCGAAACACAGCTTAAATCAGTCGTTAAAAAATCCGATTTATTGCAGCATTTTATTATGGGTACCGGTTTTGATAATGCCAAGCTTCCGTTCTGAACTTCATCTTCGGTTAGTGCTCTTTTGTATCGTATCTAAAACACACATGTTTTCTGCTTCACTAATTCGATGCATTGAACTACCATGGGCTACCTGTTGTTCGAAAAACTCCTTTTTGTGCTCTCCTGTTAACAAATTTATTTGATTTAGCGAACTCACGGAACCGTGTATAAAATACACTGACACGAAAAAACCCAAAGCCATTAAGGCACTTTTAAATCGACCAGCCATTTATCGCAAAAAATGGAGAGTAAAAATTAGAGCTAAGATTCGATGGGTCACAGTGACATTACAGAGCGACAGGGTGTCGTTATCATACAGGGTGTTGAACGTATGAGCGCTAATGTGTATAAGCTGGACGGTCTCTGGATTACTCAAACAGCAAAATGAGTTTTAAAGGGCCTTGGCTGGAATTTTGCATATTAAGAAATTATCAAATTAGAAAAACTTTAAAAGTTATAAAAAAAATCAGCGGCGTTTTCCCTGAGCCAATATCTTGGGAGAAAGAGCCGCGAGAGAAAACTGCAGAAATATCCAGAATTATATTCAACTTGTTCATAAAACCCCTATTTATTTTGCTAACATCACGCAAATTTCAAACCACAAAAACAATGCAGTTTTTTACGTTTTTTGCATCAGCCCTTGTTCAAGTTATGATTATTTTGAAACAAGGGCTTTAAAACATTATAGAAGGCGTTTAATATTAAAATCCAATATATAAAGCTTGGATGCATTTTGATTGAAACTTTGTATCTTGATATATTCTTGTTTATATTTAGTGTGCCACAGTTATTAAGGGACCACCCTGTAAACCAATTAAAATTGCCCACACCAAATCAGGCGGCGGCATTTTAGAGAGCACTTTCTTTTTAATATGAAAATGATTAATTAGACCGCATTAGTTCATCGAATAAATAATATTGCCGCGATATTCGCCAACAGAACTGTTCAAATTATTTTTCGTTAATTATTGGGGCTCAGGCTTAGATCGAAAGATTAATGCATGGGTCCGCATCAGCGTACAGTTTACTTTCTTTTCATTGGAAAACTTTTACGTTGCGTCACTCTAATCTAGTTTTATACGCAGAACATTAATAATCAGATTAAAATAGATTATTAAAATTTAATTTGTATATTAAAAAAACTCGGCTATTGAAACGGGTTTGCCGTTAATATATTACCTATCTGATCGTAAGACATTTGAAGGTTTTAAGCTTAATCAAAACTCGGCAGTTTGTATGGTTACTCATTCAGGGTTTCGGTAATAAATAAGCAATAATTATGAGAATATCAGCATGTTCATAGTTTTTTGGCACACGAAGTGTGTATTTTTAAGCCACAAAACTATTTAATGAAAATGTTTTTTTTAGTGACTCTTTTTAATCGTTTTGCTAATCCTTACTGTCGTCCAGTTGAAAAAATTGTTTTGGCGATTAACTGCACCTTTGAATCTTTCGCGCGATTCTAATGCTTACGGTGGACTTTGTCCACCACAGTTGTTAATTAAATATAATTGATTTATTGTCTAATTCCTATATTCCTGGTAAACTGCTGAACAAAATAAAGGTTACAGAGCCAAATTGGCCCTAACTTTGGAACTGGATAAATTCGGATTCCTTCAAGCGATTTTGGTTCTGATTGAAGCGCTATTGAGCCCCATTTGTGTTCCGTTAATCGATGTTTTGGTACAAATTAAGAATCTCAGACAAATTTTCTACAGGGTGGCAAATAAAAGGTGCAAAATTTCGAATAATTCGACATGCTCCTAGTTGGACAAAAATAAAGTTCTTTGAGTTCCGACACTAAAAGTTTAATTACAAACCAAATAGCTCAAACAAAAATTCGATATTCAGGTTTGCAAAAAAATGTTAGTTTAAATAAAACAACTTTACTTTCAAATATTTTGTTCATTCTTGCAACCCGCTCTATTTTTTTTCTCAACTCGACTGTGAAGTTTTAGCAATATGAGCCCCAGATTTTGAAAATCGGTTAAAGAGAAAAATTATTGAGATTGATTTTGAACCACTCATGAAAAAATTGCTTTTTTGTCCGGAGGAGACTACGCGAAACTTTCACCAATTGTGCACTGTTTCATTTGCCACCCTGTAGAAATTTTATCTGACCCAATATTCTTTTGCAAAAACACGCACTAACAGAAGAAGCATTGCACTAAATAACAATAGAATTGCAGCAGCAAATTTATATTTTCCGGTATTTTATTGTGTTAGAGTTTACGTACAAAAAAAGTGCTAGTGGGTTTCTACGGGTAAATACAAAAGTCGCTCGGGTTTTTCTTTCGTTCGTACCGTTTTTTTCATCCAACAGTTTCTTATTTCCGGAGATTTATTGAAGAGCCACTTGGTTCTCTTTATGCTTTTTCCCAAATTGTTCTTCAGCGGCGAAGCTTTGCAAACTTTTGCGAAATAGAAGGTGTGGTCAAATTTTCAATGCTCTAATCAACATCTTCAATAAATAGAGCGCATATAGAAAAGCACTGGAACATCAAATTACCAAATCGCAAAAGTTTGCATCATAAATCTACCGTCAAAGGAACGTCCCCGATGTAAAAATTAGCTGGTATTTTTGGAGAACCACCTTCTACGAAAAATTAGGGCATTTTCTGTTGTGCAATATTGAGATGAAAAATAATTCAGCACCAAAAAACAAAATGTATTGCAAATCTTAATGAAACGTATTGTTAGAGTATGTAAAATCGTCTCTCATTTCAATCCAACATATGCAGGCAGTGACATGACTGGATGACGATGGCCATCATCAATCATAAAACGACGAATCACGCAAACATCCTACAGAAAAAAATAATTAAATCCAAATAATACCCTTTAGTTGAACTAATGAATTCGTGAATATCGAGACACGAGACTCTTCAGCAGGGGCGTAGCACCTCCCGGCTTATTGTATGATAATTAGAACTGGGGGAAAGCGAACCGAAAACCCCCACTGGGTTCTACATAATTGGTTATTCCTTTTGCAGAGCGGTATTTAAAAGAGTTTGTCTACGCTTTGCATAGAAATCTGTTATGAATTTGACTTTCAAATTGAAATTAAGGCGTTTGCACCAGCGAGTTCATCTACTACATCCCAATATTTCTTCCTATCTTATTTACCAATTTAGACGTTAATATTGTTGTAGGTTTCACATTTGTTGTAACTATTTGTGCCGCATTAAACTGATTTAGTTGATCATATCAACATTAGAGGTTCCAAATGTTTTCAAAGCAGTACTGACCTGGAACTATCTGATAAATCGAGGAGAGATTTGCTAAGTTGTTCTCACCTGGTTCTTGTCGCTCAATGACGAACAGAATTAAACCTCTGCGTGTCTCCTATACAACTCTGTTTCTAATTACCGTTGCAACAATAACGTGTATTGTCTAGTTTGAGATTCTATTAATTTATGGAATAATGAGGTGCGTATGACTGTTACTCAATACAAGGACCGTATTAATCGCAAAGGGTTATGCTTTCAATGCGATTCATCGACAATGAAATATTTTTTGCAGATGCAAAGTTTCAATGTTGCAACATAGGTCATGATTTTCTGGTTGGTTTTACAGTTCCTTCTATGACTGGTTTTAAAGGTTGTGCTTCCAAAAAGCTCACATATAGTGAATAGCTACAGAAGGTGGAGAAAGAAAAGTGCCCACATCTCAGTTGTGGAGTCAAGATCGTAAAGGCGTATGAAGAAGTCGATTTTTGTTCATTTTTTTTAAGTGGCAAGAGAGAGTTGAGGATAGGAGTAACTTTGATTTATTTTAGTGGTGAAAATAATTCTATTATGGAAATAACTGAACTAGATTTATTAATTTACATTTTTGAAGAAACGATTTGACTGAAACTCTAATTTTGCGTCTCTACATTCAAACTTCTTATTTTTTTATTGAGTTCGTATAGATGACGCAGTCCCATTTATCTGAATAATGCAAATATAATTTTTAATTTATTCCGGGACTTTCAGATCAAATTAAACGAGTAGGTAAAAAATTTAAATTAGGACTATCCTTAAAACTGAAAATATAATTAGAAGTAAAATTTCAGTAACAAAACCTCATGATATAATTGAAAATACAAAAAATGTAATTTATAAAATTCCTTGCGAATGCA